AGAGAATTTTTGCCATGGAAGTTGGTAATAAGAGTGACAAAACTGAGCATCTGCAATGTTTATGTGGGCCCTGAGAGAAAGGGTTCTCTCTGAACAGAAGAAGACACAAAGTTTTGCAGTACACCATTAATATCTTTGTTGAATCTTTGTGAACTTGTATGGCTTCTCTAGGGGACCATTATTCACTGCTGAAAACATTTACAATTTTTTTTGCTTTGTTCAACTTTTTCCAAGCATCTTGCAGTCAAATTCTATTTCCATGTATAGTTTGTTACTTAAAGAGTTAATTATCTATTTTGTCTCTTAACTATATTACTTATATCAATCAAGTCTCTAAACTACGTTTTATGTCAATTTAGTTTTTGAACTATAATATTTGTGTCAATGTGGTCTTTCCGTTCAAATTGATCGTTAAGTTTTACCTAATTCTTCACATGCACAACACGTGGCTCTTAAAGTATACCCTAATCCTCAACTCACATGATGTACACGTGAGGAATTCCGTCAAAATTAATTATTAATTTGGACAGAAAGGCCACATTGACACAAAATGATATAATTTAGGAGTTAAATTGACATTAAACATAGTTTATGGGCTTGATTGACACAAATAGTATAAGTCAGAGGCCAAATAATATTTAACTCAAACTAAAAGCATTCTTGTTTTTTTTTTCGAAAGTGTTGTAGGTTTTTGTTTCTACTTTTAGTCTTCCTTTTATATTGACTGGTTCGTTTAGTTGGCCTTACTCTCTCATAGAGACTATGTTATATTAGATTTGTGTCATATCCGAATCACGTCATGTCAAATTTTATTTTAATGCATTTGTAAGCCTATTTATAATTATGTATTATCAAATTTACATCTTGTACAAACGTCATTTTACTGAGTTCATTTCGTTCCTTTTAGTAATAGAGTCAAATCTATCATGTATATTTCAACGCACAACACAGGGTCTTTGGAATATTGTCGCATGACCACGACTTGGAATGTCATATAAACGCTACGTTGTTTGTAACCAAACCGAACCTAACAAAATCTTGTTCTAACTATTTGGAGTAAGTTGCATTTTGATTTGCCAATATTATATTCTCTTAAATCATTATCCACATGACTTAATGATCTTAATGAAGCACTAGAAATATCTTTCTATGTAGTACATGTTGAGTTTTGAAGTTGCATCTAAGTGTACTTATTGCCAACTAGCTGTTTTAAATTTGACAGATAACAGAGGATATATAGATGATGTAAGATGTCTCTCTCTCCCTCAACAATAGGACCAGCCTCATATGCTGTCCTTGGCAATAATATTTTTATTTTTTTTTTACATTTTTTTTTGAGGGGAAGAAGAGATAGGGAAAATGAGCTTGAACCTTTGATTTCAAGAAGGCAAAACTTTCGCAAGATAAATAGTACTATTTGACCAAAAACCCATTAACAATAATATTAAGTCCTTACAGATTCCTTTGGATTCATTCTCTGGCCACTGGTACATTTATATTGAAAAAAAGTTTTGTTGGAGTTGTTGAGATGTTACCAAAACTAATTTTTAGAGCATTCATTTCAAGATAAAAGTTACCAAAGGTGGGTAAGGGAAACTTGTCCCCCATCTCTTGCAGAAAAAAAGGCAACTCATCCCGTTCAATCACTTATACCTTGAGAGCGGGAGAGCGCTTCTGGCTCTAATTCTCAGGTGGCGTTCTCGTTTATAGCAGTATTACAATAGCTATCACTTCTAGTTGTGGACATGGATGAAGATTTTTTAAGAGCCTTAACATATAAGGAGGCTATGCATAAAAGCCATTGAATAGAAGACGTAATCATTAATGAGTGGGGAATATGCTTTTGTGACAAGGTGTGGTATCGCATTCCATGCTTTGTAGATCAACGTCCTTCTACGATCAACAATACTTTGTAGATTGAAACAATGAATTCTTTTTTATAAAATTAACGTTGTGGTTCCATTTTGGTGATTTTTATACATTTTTTTTTCTCAGATATGTTTATTGTGAATTTGATTATCTTGGTATGAATAATTAAGTTTTAGGGTTTAAATTTAAAAAAAAAATTCTTCTAAGGAATCAAGCTCAATTTCGACTCTAGTGTAGCTAAGAAGCTTGCAACCATTTTTTGAATTGAATATAACCTCAAAAATTGAGCCCACTCGAACTCGGTCGTTCTAGTCTGAACCGAATTGTAGCATCCTCAAGTTCGATAGGTTCGGTTCGGCACAATTAGTNATAGAAGACGTAATCATTAATGAGTGGGGAATATGCTTTTGTGACAAGGTGTGGTATTGCATTCCATGCGGATCGATAATCAACAAGTTCAACGTCCTTCTACGACCAACAATACTTTGTAGATTGAAACAATGAATTCTTTTTTATAAAATTAACGTTGTGGTTCCATTTTGGTGATTTTTATACATTTTTTTTTCTCAGATATGTTTATTGTGAATTTGATTATCTTGGTATGAATAATTAAGTTTTAGGGTTTAAATTTAAAAAAAAAATTCTTCTAAGGAATCAAGCTCAATTTCGACTCTAGTGTAGCTAAGAAGCTTGCAACCATTTTTTGAATTGAATCTAACCTCAAAAATTGAGCCCACCCAAACTCGGTCGTTCTAGTCTGAACCGAATTGTAGCATCCTCAAGTTCGATAGGTTCGGCACAATTAGCATCTATCGAGCTTGGATTGTGCACCCATGAAGGGCTGCCCTATCAACTGGGCTAGGGCCACAGCTTCAATTGCAGATGACTTGAGTATAATGGTAATAGACACAAAACAAAACAAGGAAAGAGAGTAGAAAAATGTACCATCCATAGGCTTCCCTTGGTAGTCATAACTCTACTACACTTTTCTCTTTGAGATATATATATATCCTATAAAGACTAAAGATCTAGAGATAGAAATAAGGACTGCAAAGACCATGTGAATATGAGTTGCAGAGCATATAATGCAGGCAATATGGGTTGGAACACTAAAATGAACTTCCCAAATCTATCTATCTTCTTCTCAGTATCAATCACCATCCCAAGGCCCATGTGGTGCACATGTAATACTTTGAATATAAATGGCAATCGCATTGCATAATCCCCCCCAAAAAAACACACACACAAATTATGTAAAAAGGCATATATGTTTAGTTTATTTCTCATGTTAACTCTATGGACAAAAGAGGTTCTGGACTTTTTAATACACGAGTATCTCGCTATTGCGATATCCATATAGGATCAAATTTATGTGACTTTATTTTTTACTTGGGGAAATGCATGTCGAGTTCATTTTTTATTTTCTTTTTTTGGATAAATATCTAATTTTATATTTATGCTATTTATGATTTATAACATAATTATCAATATATTATAAAAATAATTTACTTTATAGCCAAAAATAAAATAAGAGCAAATATAGAAGATCAATTATTAACCCAATTGAGTGTCATGTTAGGGCAATTTTCAAAGTCCTTCACATTTTTCTCCCCTTCAAATATCCTGTACAAGTAAAAGGGCAAATTCAAAGTGTTTTCAAATATTAAAATTTAAAGAGCAAAAGGACAAAGGCACAAGAGTTTCACATGAGTTAGACTTTTAAGAAGGACAACATTTATTAGCTTACAAAAGAAGGGTACAACCATTAGAAAGTAGTAACGAGGTGTTGTTGATTAAAATAATATTATTTTGTATTAAAATGATACTATTTTATTAAATAAAATGACGTTATTTTAATTAATATCACCTCCGCTGTTAATTTTTACCAACAAAGGAGGCAAACCAAAAAATAACTCTTTAAATTTGATTCATAAGCATCTATGACTACAAACTAATTTACACCTCTAAATCTATAAAAAAAAACCCCATTTCCATTAATAATAAGGTAAGCTCCAGAATCGGCGGAATTCCTAATTTGATCTTTCCTTGAAGTTAGTCTAGAGTGAGAGAAATTTCTACAACAAATTCAGACTAGACTCGATCAATTGGCAATAGGGTTTAGAAGGTATTTTTTAACGCATGTTTATCAAATTGATAAAACGAATCTTTTCCAAAAAGTCAGAGTTGGTATAACAATAGTTACACTTCATGACTTCTAGCAAAACGTACCATAACCTTGTGTGAGTTTAAATATCGTTTGATACTAACTTCAACTGTAATCCACCTATGAGATTGCTTGCACCAACTTTGAATTAAATAAGATCGGCCATAAAATTGAAGAAATAAATGGAGATATAACAAGAGATTCTCGATTCGCTGCTCTACATTTTGAGAAAGTAGAATATTGATGACTGTACTACCTTACGCTTTACTTTATTGATTTAAATCCGAACCGTATGAACTTAGATGGATTAAACTCCTTTGATTTTTGCCAATGTATAAGCCAAAGCCAACTAAGGTTCATGGATGGGGGTGAGGATGGGGATGAGGGCATTTTGGTAATTGCATGACAATTTGTTGCTGTTACCTATCCAAAAATAGTATACAATTTAATAGCGGTTACCAGATATTGTTAAATTAAATGACTAAATTTATTGTACCACCCAAAGTTGGAGGGATAATCTGAAAAGGGTTCATTCACATCTTCTGTAACTGATCTGGTAATTAATATTCACATAATCCAACATAATTGTGATCTTTATTTCATAATAGTGATACCAACCCGAGTCGAGTAATGTTTTTAAGTCGTGTAAATCATGTTATCTAAAAATTTATCAAATTTACACTCGTTCTGTTTATAATCATGTTTTGCTTCGAATTTTTGAAGTATTTAAATTGTATATACTTATATTGTCGCCGATAAATTTATATAATATTACTGAGTGTTGTTATGAATTATTTATGAGAATTAAAAATCTATATAAATGTACAAACCCATGATAAACCCAAGCCAACCAACCTTTTGTAGCCAAGCCAAAATCCAAGTGATTTAAGGGCCAATTATGAAACCAAGTTAAAAAACGTCAATAAATAAAGGCCAAAGCAAAGAGTGAGGCCTTAGAACCCTCTCCCTCTTTGTGGCTGAATGCCCGTTTGTTAGCTCTCTCTCTCTCAAACTCTGAAATAGAGGAAGCAGAGATACCAGAGAGATTTAATGTCCACCCACCACATGTGAACTGCTCTCTATTCTCACCCCCTATCCCTCTCTCTTTCTTCTGGGATACTAAACCTTCATGTCTCTTAAAACTTTCTTTTTCCCAATGTGCCTCAGAACCATTTGCCCTCTCTCATTTTACTGTTTGATGTTTGTCTGAAAAAGTCCCAAAATAAAGAACAGAGAAAAAATTCCAGCATATATTCATCTTCTCAGTGTAGCTGTTCCTGTTTCTCCTTCTCTCACATCTCTCAGAAACCAACCCATCTTCTCATTCCATTGTTGTTGTTAGTCTTCTGGGTGTTCTGTTTTGAGCATAAAAAATGAGTAAAGAGGAGTACTTGAAGAGTCAGGTACTCATTCTCTTGCACATATATGCTATATGCATGTTATGTTGTTGTTCATATGTGCCTATATCTTTTCGTTCTAATGGCTTTGCCTCAGTTGAAATAAAAATCTTTGTGTGCTTTCCCCCATTTTAATTTCCTCTTTTTCTTTTTCATTAATGTGATTATTTCTTTAATGTGGTTGTTTTCTATGGTTTTGCTGGTGCTTGCAGACTTGGGTTCTAAAAGTGAACATACATTGTGATGGGTGTAAGCATAAAGTGAAGAAAACCTTGCAGAAAATTGATGGTACAGTTCCATTTCAAGACTAAATCTTTGTTTTTCTATGATTTGTTTTGAACAGTTCTACATACCCAATTTGTTAAAATTATATAAATTTTGTCTGGATGGTTGATTCTTCTTTTTCTGTTTTTTTTTTCACATTGTTGTTGGGTTGGATTTGCTTTACTTTTGAATTGCTTGGTTGATTTTGTATGATATTTTTTTTCTGTGTAAGGGGTTTATACCATCAAAATAGATTCAGAACAGGGCAAGGTCACAGTGTTAGGAAATGTAGACCCAGCCACACTGATCAAGAAGCTGGGGAAGAGTGGGAAACATGCAGAGCTTTGGGGGGCACCAAAGAGCCAGAACCAGAACCAGCTTAATAACCAGTTCAAGAACATGCAAAATGACCATGGCAAAGGTGGGAACAACAAGGGTCAAGGTCAGAAGGGTGGGAATAATCAGCCTAAAGGTGGACAACAAGGTCAAAATCAACAGCAACTTCAACAATTGAAAGGGTTTCAAGATCTGAAATTGCCTCAATTCCAAGGCTTGAATATGCCTTTCAACAAGAAGGACCAGAACCAGAAGGGTTCTAAGTTCAACTTGCCTGAGGATGATGGTGAGAGTGATGATGATGATGATGAGTTTGATGAGGATGATGAGTTTGATGATGATGATGATGAANGAACCAGAAGGGTTCTAAGTTCAACTTGCCTGAGGATGATGGTGAGAGTGATGATGAGGATGATGAGTTTGATGAGGATGATGAGTTTGATGATGATGATGATGATGAGTTTGATGATGAAATGGATGATATCTCTCTCAACAAGATGAAACCCACAATGAGCAAGGGTCATGGAGGTGCTCAGATGCCTAATATGATGATGAATGGGCAGCTTCTGCAGCTTATAAAGGGTGGTAACGGTGGTGGTGATGGTAAAAAAGGTGGTGGTGGAGGAAATATACCGGTTCAAGTAAATATGGGAGGTAACAATGATGGAAATAATGGTGGCAAAAATGGAAAGAAAGGTGANTACCGGTTCAAGTAAATATGGGAGGTAACAATGATGGAAATAATGGTGGCAAAAATGTTAAGAAAGGTGGNGTTCAAGTAAATATGGGAGGTAACAATGATGGAAATAATGGTGGCAAAAATGGAAAGAAAGGTGATGGTAATGGAAACAACAATGGGGGTAATCAAAATCAAGGCGGTGGTGCAGCCAAAAATGGTGGTGGGCCACCATCAGATAGAAAAAATGGTGGTGGTGGTGGGGGTCATAACAAGAATGGTAACAATGGTAATGGTGGTGGCGCTAATGTTGGCAATAATAATGGTAACGGGGGCAAGAAAGGGGGTGGAATGAATGATGGGCTTCATGGCATGCCTAACATGATGGCTATGAGTGCTGGGGGTCAGGTGGGCCAGTTGGGAAACATGCCCATGGCCCAAATAGGCCAGATGGGTAATATCCCGGCAGTCCAAGGTCTTCCGGCGCCTGCACCGATGAATGGTGGTGCTGGTGGGTATTTCCAAGGGGCTACGCCGGAAATGATGGCTGGTAACCCCTACTACCAGCAACAAATGGCGGCGATGATGATGAACCAGCAACGTGCAAACGGGAACGAAAGGTTTCAGCCTATGATGTATGCCCGCCCACCACCGGCCGTTAATTACATGCCCCCTTACCCATATCCATACCCTCCACCACCAGACCAATACAGCTCCTTCTTCAGTGATGAAAACACTTCAAGCTGCAGTGTAATGTGAAAAATTCCCTGGCTAATGTTGTGCTTCATTAGCCAAATGTGCTGAGTTTTTGTTGTGGCGGCTTGATGGTTGGGTTATACTTAGAAGACTTACCTTTGTGCCATGGTATACATGGAAAATGGGCTATCAATTAGCTCTTGGTTCCCTCTTAATTTTTCCTTTTCATAATCCTAAGTCGAGAGAGGTTTAAACTAAGGTTTTTAATCTTCATGTGGAGTAATTATGTAGATTATATGTTGAAGTTTAGTGGAGGATGAAATGTAAGTGGAGGATGTCAAGCTCTTTTCCAATGATATGTTATATGTGTTCATATGTTTGAAACAAAAATAATATAGAAGGGAATGGGTGTTGACTTTAAAAAAAAAAAGAAACAAAAAAGCCTCTCACTTGCAGAGTTATTAGGTCATTGCTGATCTCTCTGTCTCTTTCAACCACCCAAGCATGTGTGTTGTTTTTGCATTATGAAAGTGCACCCAATCCATCAATAATTGATATCGATAGAAATAAATGTGGACTACACAAGAAATGAATAGGAATATTGTACCCACCATTGTTGTGAGTATGGCAGACCATTGTAGTATATAAAAAATGTAATCTAGATATGGGAGGGTAGTATTATTGGTTTTGGTGTTATCCTAAATTGATGTGTAGAGCTTGTACCTGTGGTGGACACTCTTTCTTCCACTCAGTGAGCCAGAAGAAGAGTGTTGGTGAGTGGGCATGTGTGTCACCTTAAAAGAGAGAAAGGTGAGAGGGAAGGGTGTGTGAGGGTGACAGAGACTAACTAACTGCTTACATTTGGACAAAATCTTAGAGGGTTGACACTTCAGACATGAATTCTTTGTTTATGGTCTACTCATATCAACAAAAAGAGCATCCTGGTTGAGTTACCCATAAATCCAAAGTTTTATATGAACTTACTAGCGATATCCAGTGATTGAAGTCACTGAATATTAAATTATGACACTATGTGTGTATTAGAGAGTGTGTGTACAGTTGGAGTGTATATATAATGTGTGAGTGTGTATTTGAGTATGTGTAACTATGTATTATAGAGTATTTGTGTTGAGTTTGTAAAATTTAGGAGGGAAAGTTTGTGATGGGTCTGTGAAATTTGGGAGGGAAAATATACTCCCCATAAGTTCAAACATCTAGCTATCTTATTATATAGATTAGAAGATTACAAAACCTTAAAAAAAAATTATCCAAAAAAAAAAAAAAACCTAAAAAAACAATTTCGATTTAAGATCAATCGTAAAAATTATAATTTGTAAAAGTCAAGTTATAATTTACAAAAGAAAAATTACAATTAATTTAGATAATTTATTATCTTTCATAAATTATTTTAATTAATTATTATTTGTTTAAAAACTAATAACCTTTAATATGATAATGTAATTTTTTTTTGGTACCCTAAAATTACCCTTGGTTTTGATTATGAAAGCTAAGTGTGGTCTGGATCTGTATTTCCAGCATAGTCCGAGATTAGTACAATCTCTGGTTTAGACCAAAAATGACACCAATGTGCATAGCACAGGTGTCTGAGATGGGATTGACACGTGTGAGGAGGATGGAGGTGACTTTGATGAGCATGGTGAGTAATCACATGGGGCTAGATAGTATGAGGGTAAGGGCCTAGTGAATTGGGTTTTGGATGTATATGCAAATTATGTAAGCTCATATTTGTATCTGGAAAATACTAAAATTATTTTTTTATTTTTGGATATAAAAAATAAAAAAGAAGTTGCTTGAACAATAGATTTTTTTAAGTACACTATTAACATATTTTTGTCAATTTTGAAACAAAATTTTAGAAAAAATTGAAAATATGAGATATAATTTATTATGCACTTAAAAGCATCATTTAAAAGAGAAATTGTTTTTCTATCGTCTGTGTCTTTCATTCTATTTCCAAATAAGTTTGATCGATTCCTATAACCCTTAGTCTCGTCTGAAACTCCGATCTTTCAAGTGGCATAAGCCGGTGAGAAGATGTCAAATTGACTTCTAATAAACTCCTGAAGAATGTTCTTTCCATGTGTTTTGTAATTTTGTTGTCGATTGATTTTGTTTATTTTTTTGAGGTTGACTTTCTTCTTAGATCTGATTTTTTTCTTTTTTTTGAGATTCAACGATAAAATTTATTATGAAGGAATATCATAAAAAAAAAGAGGCATAATAAAGTCTGGTGTTTGCTCCAACCATACAACACTATTATTTAATGGTAGAATAAAACGAGCTAACTCATGAGCTATTTTATTTCCATTGTGGTGAACCCCTCGGATACTTCAAAGTAGCGAAAGCTTCTCGCTATACTGTTCATATCTTGTAAGATGGCTCCGAGAGGATCAAGATCCATCTGTAGAATCCCTTTCCAGTATGACTTCTAACAACTCTTGCTGCTTTGCGAATTAGATCGCTATTTTCGTTGCAATAGTTTCTACTTTACGAACATCGCAACTCATTGACATTCTTTTAGATAAAAGCTCCTATAAAGTAACTCTGATTATCTCTTATAACAACCCCCACGCCTAAGACATTTTAGTCTTTGAATACAGTAGCATCGAAATTAACTTTGAAGATAACTGCCCTCGGTGGACACCAACCATCATTGGGATTTGGCATTGGAGTAAGACTGGATTGAGCTATTGCCTCCCTATACTACCTCTAATAGTTAGTTGCCTTCATATGTACTTCAACAGGGTCTTCAACCGTATTTTAAAAAATTCAAGTAATTTCTATTTCTCCACACAAACCAGCACTAAATAAGGAATAATGAAAAGTCATCGAGTGTAGGGATGTCAATGGACCGAAGCAGGGGCGGGAAGTGTAGTCTTTATCCCCGTACCCGCTTAAAAAAACTTTGTTCATCCCCGGTCCACCCCCATTAACGGATATAATTTTCATCCTCATCCCCGTCCACGGATAAATTTTTAATCCCCATCCCCTTTCCCGCTTCCCCATACCCGCTTAAGTTCAAGCCCAAGCCCAAGTAGCATAATCTAAAATTCTAAATAAATCTAATATTTTAAATAATCTAACAACATTCTAAATAATCTAGATTACAAAATGTAAAAGCCAAAACAATATAGTATTCTGTTTAAAGTGTCATTGGATCACAAAAAGAGAAACAAAACTATTAGAGAGAAAGGAAGAAAAGAAAAATAAAATTAAACTAAGAAAACGATAGCACTACACTTGAAGTTTTCTAGAAGAATTTTTATTATTACAATTTATATTACAGTCATAAAGTGTTAAAAGATGAAAACTTAAAATTTCTCTAATTCAATAATTCTTCTAATTTCTTAGTTCACTCTAGTAGAGAAACTCATCAACCTCCATTCACAATATTTCTATCCACAATGAAATGCAAAACTATCTTACTCTCTCTTATCTGTTTTTAGAGCATGGTCAATTCAAACTCTTAACAGTTTCAATCAGTCAACACAAATAGAAAAAAGAATAATTAGGGAAAAAAGTTGATAAGATTACCACATAGCAATGTCACTTGTTAGTTTGATTACCATATTTCTAGATTAGTAGTTACAGTAAATATGTTTAGTTAAGGCTTGTAAGTATTTGAAGATAACTGCCCTCGGTGGACACCGACCATCATTAGCGGGGGCGGGGCGGGGGTAAGGGTAAGTTTATCCCTGCCTTTATCCCCGTACGGGTTTATACGAGTATTCCCGTATACGTCTACCGTCCAATATGTATAGTCCATCCCCGGTCCAAACGGGACGGGTTTAGACGAATACCCTGTTTTTCCCGATCCATTACCATCTCTAATCGGGTGTAAGGGATTGATGAACATCATGCATCCACTACCCAGGATCAGAAGACAAAATCTGAACAACTGCCTTTAATAAGCTGAGACACCACACTACTTTGGCCCAAGAACACTCCCTTAAGTAGTGTATCAACGACTCCTCATCTTCTTGACACACCCCACAATTCCCATGCACTGTGACTTTCTTGCGACGTAGGTTATCTGTTGTTGGTAACGCATTGGAACGCACATGTTAGGCAAAAATCTTAACTTTATTTGGTATTTTTTGATTCCAAATAAAATTCCAATTAGGATGTTCATCACTAAAGGAAGGAGATGAATTGCTTGGGGCCGCTTGCAATAGCTTTTGGTCCATGATGATATGATATGCACTACGTACCAAGAACCTCTCATTTGAGTTATAATGCCAAATCACTCGATCCTCCATAGAATTTCTGTTGAGTGGAATACTTTTAATCACCAACGCCTTATGAGGGAAAAATATTTCATCCACCAATTGCTCATTCCAGCTCTGCGTTTGCTCATTAATAAGATCCCCAACCCTAGTTGAAGCATGTAGAACCCTTTTAGGGGACACTGGCTTGAAACTTACAAGGGGTGGGGTATCCACCTATCCGACCAAATATTGTCTTTGGATCTATCACTTATTCGCTATCTCGAACCTGTTCCCACAACTTTTCTTGCTCTTAAAATACTTCTCCATGTGTAAGAGAGTCTATATCCAAGCTTTACCTCCATAAAAGATGTCAAAAGGGAAGTACCTTGCCTTAAGCACTTGATGAATAAGTGAATTAACCTCTGTGTTCATTCTCCAAGCCTATTTCGGGAGTAGCGCCAAATTGAATACCTTAAGATCTCTGAATCCCATGCCACCCTTCTTCTTCCCTGTGTTTATCCTTCACTAGCTAACCCAATAAATTTTCCTCTTCCCTTGTCTTTGTCCCCACCAAAATCTGTCCGATAGTGCCTCTAGTTCCTCATAAAAATTATCCAAAAGTTTGAAGCATCGCATAGTGTGTGTGGGAATAGATTGCACCACCACCTTAATCAATACCTTTTTTCCCGCTTTACATAAAAGTTGTTCACTCCAACCATGCATTTTATTCCATACCATTTCCTTTAAATTGTTGAAGACCTCTTTTATAAATCTATCCACCACAGTAGAAGGCCCAAGTATTTATTATGTTGGTGAACACAATCTACCCCCAAT